GCAGTGGCCGGTCCAGTTCACTTATTTTCCCTGGCGGCCTCTTATTCTGCCCTCCCTCTTCCCCATTTCAAGAAGGAGCACACTCTTCTTTTCCACATTCTTATAGTTGCTGGATTTTAATATTGTTTGAAGGGATCAAAACTGGCTTTCTGAGTTCCTAGGCAGCTCCTGCTGGGATTTCCTTCAGGACCCCCCTGGATGAATTCCTCTGTTTCTCCTACCCAATAACCTCCTCTTCTTGAGATTCCATTCTCTCTCTCTCTCTCTCTCTCTCTCTCTCTCTCTCTCTCTCTCTTTTTTTTTTTTGGTACAGGGAACTAAACCGCTGAGCAACATCCAGGGCCCCTATTTGTATTTTATTAGAGAGGAGGTCTCTGAGTTGCTTAGGGCCCCACTAAATTGCTGCTATGGCTGGCTTTGAACTCATGATCCTCCTATCTCAGTCTCTGGAGCTGCTGGGATTACAGGTGTGCTCCACCATGCCTGGCTGAGATGCCTTTTTTATTTTGCAAGTAGTATATCCTCAAATGATCTCTGTCTGTTGTAGTCATAGGATTAGAAGCTCAAAATCATTGTCCCTCTGAACCCTCTGGCCTCTGGCATCAGATATTGGATTCCCACTCCTTGAACATTGCCCATTTGTACTATCTAGAAGCCAAGATCTTATGATTAGATGCTTGAAATATGGCAAGAATTTTTCAGGTTCCTCTTCAAACAAAGACCCATATCTTACAGTGGGGCTCATTCTGTGATCTTGGTTTTCTCTTTCTGGAATTCTGAATGATAAGGGCTGAGTCCCCTGGCCTGATCCTTTATGAAGGATCTGTGCTAGTGATCTCTCTGGGGCCACTTTTAGGTTGTGATTTCCTTCTCTGTTCAACTATCAGTTCAGTATACAGTATTCTCATGCTTATCCACAAGGGGATACATCCCAGGACCTTCAGATGCCTAAAACCACAGGTAGCTCCAGCCTCTATGTATACCTACCTGTTATTAGGTCTAATTTATAAGTTAAATTAGGGATAACAACAATAATAATCAAGTAGATTACTATAACATTACATAGTTGTAAAAGTTACTTAGAACTTAGGGATTGCTTATCTGTAGAGTCTTTCATTTAATGTTTTCAGACTGTGTTGCCACGAGTAACTGAAACCTTGGAAAGCAAATCAGATAAGGGCCTATTCTGGTCTTCCTCCCATTTTCCAGAAAGTCAACAATTTGACCCCGGAAGCTCTTTGTCACGTTGACAGGAATTTCCGTGTGGATTCCTAAGGGCATCTCAGTGGGATGGGGAAGCTGTGCTTCTACCACCTTCTGGAACATTCTCCACCCCTCTGGAAGATTCTGGGTCCTTCTTGGAAAGAAGGAGGGTGCCACACTGGTTTTCAGGTGCCTGAGAGGGCCTAACTTCCTGTAACAGAAGCAGAGCCTTGGTATAGTCCGCCTGGCTCAGGGGCGCAGATCACTGCTGGGGCTAGAGGCTCATGGCCTCCGCAGAGGGTGTCCACAGAAGGGGTGGGGAGAGCAGTGTTTAGGAAGCGAGAGGAGAGCCCCCTGCTCAAGTGGGCTGGCAGAGCCTGGAGGAGGGAAAGTGGGCCCCAGCCTCTGTGGGAAGCTGGGCCTGACCTGGCTCTGTAGCTGCCTGACCCCAGGCTCTGCAGGGCAGAGGCCACAGGCAGCTAGGTGCCACCCACAGAGCACCTCCCTCTCCGTTCAGACTTAAGATGGATGGCTTTGACACATGGGAGCCCCTGGAAGGAGAAGAGGTGGGTGGAAAATGGCTGTGAAGGACTTTGGGCAGTGAGGACTGAGGGAAGTGGGGGGAAGATCATGGTGGACATTGACAAATGGAAGACAGGGCCGCTCACAATAGCCCACCAGGTCCCCCCAGGGGCTGAACCGCGTGTGGTCCCTCTTCCCTGCTCTTTGGCTACCTGTGCCTGAGTTTTCTCATTTCCCATCCACTTGCACCATCTCTTTGAGCTTCTTGGGTCTCAGCTCCCTGGAGGAAGCCAACAGCAGAGATTCCCCTGCCGCCAAGTGTCCCTTTTCAGAAGTACTCAGGGAGGGGGTGTGTGGGGCACTGCGTGGCATGAAGAGGGGTTATGATGAGCTCTGAATCCTGCCTGTAAGGAGGGGACAAACCGACGGGGATGGAGAAGACACAGGGACAGCTTCAGAAGCGCATGGCTTGGGACCTGCTTCTCCTATAGTGACAGATAAACTCCTTATGAGCAAGGAGGCACTGGGCCTGGGCTGCCTGTGCCCCCAGAGTCAGGCTCAGCCTTCCAGGCTTTGAGGGAAGGGAGGGACTGCTCTGCTGGGGAGCCACTGGCCATTTTAGAAATTGGAACTTAGGCCCACAGTGGGGAGGGGTCAGGCTTCTCGCTCCAGGAACCTGCGTGAGTAGCAGCTGGGGGCGGGGGTCATATCGAAGTGGTGGGTCTGAAGATAAACTGGGACAGGCAGAGTGTGTGGAGCTGCTCAGGTGGGCAGGGTCTACAGAATGCCTGAGGCTGCCTGTTAAGGTTGGCTGCCTCCCCACCAGCAGGACAGAGCAGGCTTGCCGAGTCCTGCGTCTTGGCCCTGGGGCTGCTCTAGTCAAGCTCTTTGTCCACTTAGGGAGGGGGCCAGAAAGGGCCGCTGCCCTCATCCATCCACAGGACACCCCCATGTCCCCCAAAATAATTCTGTTCACTGCAGGGCCTCTTGGAAGCCTCCTGCCTTAGGATCCAAATTACTCCTCCAGGTAGGCTGGAGTTTTGCCCCGAGTCCCCCACCAGCCCCATGAGGCTGGGCTGAGCCACTGTCCCTGCATCTGTCTCTCCTAAGCACTCAGGGTAGGACTGGACCCTGCTTGGGGTGTCTCCCAGGGCTTGTGGGGCATGTGGATAAATGAATAAATGGACAGTACTGTCCCCAGGTCCCCTGCCCCCAGGCCCTGCCCAGGCCCAGTGCTGCCCTTCTCCCAGCCTTTCTCTCCTGCCCAGGGAGGATGGTGCAGCCTCCCTTGCACCGGAGTTGAACACCAAGGCTCTTTTAAGCCTGTGAATGGGTTCCCGAGGTAAAAGGGGGTGTTGAAGGTTGTCTGAAGAAAAGAGAGGGGCCTGACCCTGAGTCTTAGAGTCCTCGGGAGTGGGTTTAAGTCTGCTCGCACCGGGAGCAGCTGCCCAGGACACTGTACTAACTTTCATCTGGCAACCTGGCAAGTACAGCCAGGGCTGGAAGAAGCCACAGACCCATGGATGTTTGACAGCTTTTGTACTTTGGCACAGCCAGGCTGACTCTTAGGGACGCTTCTGTAAACCCTGAGCATAGGCCAGGAAAAGAAATAGGAATGTGGTTCCTATAGCAGCCAAGTGTCCCAGTGCTTGGGGCCAGGCCAGGGCCTGGTGGTGGGCAGGAGGCAGGACCTGGAGCCATCCTCCCTACCTTGTCCCAGCCCACCGGCTGACCACCCCAACTAAGGGCCATATCGGCAGGGGCGGTGGGATGAAGTTGGGGTGTCCACAGATAGCTGTGGTGCAGTCCCCGAGGGGGTGAGGAAGCAGCTCCCAGCCTGCTCCAGGGTCACCTTCCCATCCTGCTGCTCAGAGCTGGCCACAGGAAGCTTGGTTCCAATGCACTCGGAGCCCTGAGGGCAGGTACTGTGCCTGGCTCTTCTCTGTCCCTAGCGCCTGTCTCAGGGCCCACAGAGAGGAGGTGCAGATACACAGTTGCAGAATGAATGGGTGGATGGACAACAGAGGCATAAATAAAGATCATTCACTGGGGAAGATATTAGAACAGAGCGAAGGAAGCCTTGAAGTCCTGCCCTTGATGCCGCAGTGTGCCCCTTGGCTCCCCTCCTTCCTCCCCCCACCTCTCTCTCTCTCTCTCTCTCTCTCACACACACACACACACACACACACACACCTTTCCAGAACACTCAGAGCCACTTTGAGGGTGTCATGCTTTGTCACGGCTAAATAATCCTGCTCTGAGCACCAAGCCCCTTGCTCCAAAATGCACAACTCTCAGGAGCCCTGCTGTGACACCACAATGTCATAAGAAACTTCTACATTTTGTCTCCTCCCTGGCTCCTACACTTACCTCCTGAAACTGTAGAGCCTCCCAAGTGATAATAAGGTCTCTGTCTGCTAATGAGATGACAAGCGGTAAGTCACTAGATAGATTCAGGATGGGCCCTGATCGCCAGAAAAACCAAGACGCTATTAGAAGGTTGGGGATTTCTGCCACACTCCAGCCTCATGAGGGGAGAATGGCTGAAGGTCAAGTTGATCACCATTATGCCTACATAATGAAGCCTCCATAGAGAGCCAAAAGGACCAGGTTCCGGAAGCTTCTAGATTGCTGACTGCACAGAGTAGTGTGCCCACATGCTTGGCCAGACACAGCTCTTCCATGTGCCCTTCATCCGAATCCTTACAAATATCCATTATAATATATAATACATGGTAAGCGGAAATGAAATGATTCCCTGGATTCTGAGAGCCATTCTCTCGAATTAATTGAATTGGGCCAGGCCGAGGTCATAGGAACCTCAATTTATAGCCAGTTGAGCAGAAATACAGGTCACAACCTGGGGCTTGTGATTGGCATCTGAAGTGGGGGTAGTCCTGCGGGACTGAGCCCTCAACCTGTGGAATGGACTGTCTCCAGGTAGACAGTGTCAGCGTTGTCTGATTAGAGGACACCAGCAGGACAATCACTTGGCACCTGGGGAAACAACCTCGGCCTGTCTGGTGTCAGAAGAGCAGTGCTGAGTGGCTGTGACAGTAGGAAAAGCACTTTGGGTTTTTCTACCCTGAACTCCCCCGCCCACTCACCCCTCTGACCTTCTTCCCCCTCCCCCCATGACCCCCTCCCTCCCCTGTGCAGGAACAGCAGCACCAGGAAAGCTTCTCAGCTTCCCACTGTGATTTCAAAGAATGCTGATCTTCATCAGCTACATTAATGAATCAGAGCCCAGGAGGTGCCAACCTTCCTAAAAATACCTGATGCCGAGAGGGGCTGCGAAGGCTGCATCCTCAGGGGGCCAATCAGATCCTCTGGGACAGCCTCCAGGTCACCCACACACTGCAGATGGGGAAACTGAGGCCCAGAGAAGGAAAGGACACACGTCAGGCCTGGGACCCAGGGAGGGGCTCTGCAGAGTGTCTCTGCCGCCAGACAGGGTCAAGGTGGGGGAGGCTCTGCAGTCCAGAGCCCCAAGTGGGGCTGAGGGCTGAGCAGGGCTGAGCCCCAGACTGAGCCCTGCTCTAGGCCCCAGACACTCCGCAGATCCAAGGGGCAGCTCCTACAGGTGGAAGCAGTTCACTAGGTTCGGTAACCACGAAGGGGGGTCCCATAGGGGGTCCCTGGGCCATGGTGGAACTGCCCTGCATGGACAGGTTTATTCTTCTCAGGCAGGGGAGACTAGGAATGGCCCCAAAGATCGAGAGTAGGGGTCACCCTCCTTTCTCACCGTGCAGTCCCAGAAGCAATAGGTTGTATTACCTGGGAGCTCATTGGAAACGCAGAAGTGCAGGCCCCGCCCCAGAGCTGCTGGCTCACTCCCCAAAGTGATTCTGCTCATTAAAGTCGGAGAAGTACTGGCCTCTGGAGCCACCTAGCATCAGGTCTGGCCCAGCAGTGACACGTGTGATTAATGCACATACATAATGTTCTTCATTGCCAGGAGGGGGTCAGGGAGGACGGGAACCAGGAAGGAAGAATCCCTAGGATGAAAAATCCAGAGTTAAAAGTGGCTGCTGCCCCTGGGAGTGTCATGGAGTGATAGAATCTGGCGAAGTAAAAGTCGTAAGTTCATCCAGGCTGCCTCCTCGGCGGGCTGAAGGCTCCTCCCATCTCTCTGACAGCTGCTTTCTAGTCTCAGCTGTGACAAGGAGCTTGGCACCTGTCAGGCTGTCCACTGCAGGGTGGACACTGGGACTAACGGAGCCTTCGGAAGGAGGGCAGACGCCACCTGCATGGGCCCAGCTGCTAGCTCCGCAGCACTTCACTCAGGAGGAGTTGCTGGCCCCCGGCCGCGTCCTTCTTAGCTCCCTCCTCACTCCATCAGAAATTGTCTTTCCACCTGTGTTTGCAAAGTCATTTACGAGCCTCTCTTCCCTGACTGCAGAGTCTGCCACACTGTTAAAGAGGCCCAGAGTCTGCCACACTGTTAAAGAGGTGGAAGTCCCCCGGCTGGGATGCAGAGGGTGGTGCTGACCTCGCTCCTCCCCTTCCTCCTGCATCTCAGACAAGCAGGCACAGCAGCTCAGCTAAGTCAAATAGCCACAGGCCCTTCCCAAGCTGTGCAGACACTGTCCTGCAAATGGTGTGCAGAGGTGTGGCATGTCAGCTTGGAATAGCACCCTTTGCCATAGGGACTTGGAACTACAGGGGCTTGTTTCCCCAGAGAACCAAGGATCATTTCCCAGGGAATCGTGTTGAGCCAGGACATGTACACAGTACAGGAAGTCCAGACCCCTGCCTCCCTGCCCTCTCCTAGGGCTCTAGGCCAGGACATAAGCCCCTGGATAACTCCACCTGCACGTCCCACTGGCCTCAAGTTCAGGCATCTTCCCCCGTTTCCCTGCACTGGTGCCGTCTCTTCCATATCAAGTAGCTCCACTGTTGCTCAGCTGTCCAAGCCACCAACATGGGGTCACCTTCAGCCCCGACCTTCCACTCCCTCCCCTCTCTCCATCATACCCCCATGCCAGTTTTGGAATTCTGCTAATCCCCCTCCTTCATAAGTGTACACTGTTCTTCCCTCTCCTTCCCCATTGGCAGTGACCAGGTCCAAGCCCTGTCACCCGCTCCTTGCCTCCTCACTGGTTCTCCTCATCCTAGATCCATCCGAGTGGCAGTTACCTAGTGCATGGGGCCTGGAGGCACCGCCTGACTCCCTCTTCTGCCTGCTCCACTTTACTCCAAGTGCCCGTCCATGAGTCTGGGTAAGGTTCAGCTGGCTGGTGACTGGAGCGATTTTTCAAAAGCTGAGGAGATGAACAGGGGCAACCAGGCTGCCCCTTTCATCCCTGACGTTTGTGTGTATGTGTGTGCAAGGATGTGTGCACACCTGGGAACTCCCATGGAAATGTTCCTATGCCCTTCAGCAGGTGACCCCAAGCCCCAGGAGGTGGGTGTTGAGGTTAAGATTTGGACCCAAGCAGGTTGGATCTCAAGCATGTTTATACCCTCCACTCATACACGTTTGCTTGTATCCCCCAGTAAAGAGATAAGATATTTTTATCTTTAATTTTTTTTTAGATATACATGATAGTAGAGTATATTTTGACATATTACATATACAGAGAATATACTTATTTTAATTAGGATCCGATTCTTGTGGTTGTTTGTACATGATGTGGAGTTTTATTGGTGGTGTATTCATATATTAACATAGGAAAGTTATGTCTGATTCATTCTATTGTCTTTCCAAATCCTATCCCCTCTCCCTTCCCTTCATTCCACTTTGTCTAACTACAATGAACTTCTATTCTCTGGCCCCATTGTGGGTTAGCATCCACATATTAGAACATTCAGCCTTTGGTTTTGTGGGTCTGGTTTATTTCACTTAGTATGATAATCTCCAGTTCCATCCATTTAGCAGCAAATACCATAATTTCATTATTCTTTATGGCTGAGTAATGCTCCATTGTGTATATATACCACATTTTCTTTATCTATTCATCTGTTGATGGGCACCTAGGTTGGTTCCATAGCTTTGCTATTGTGAGTTGAGCTTCTATAAACATTGATGTGGGTGTATAATTGTAGTACACTGATTTTAAGTCCTATGGGTATATTCCAAGGAGTGGGATAACTGGGTCAAATGGTGGTTCCATTCCAAGTTTTCTGAGGAACCTCCATTCTGCTTTCTAGAGTGGTTGCACCAATTTGCAATCCCACCAGCAGAGTATGAATATACCTCTTTCCCCACATCCTCGCCAATATTCATTGTTACTAATATTCTTGATAATTGCCATTTTGACTGGAGTGATGATATTTCATTGTGATTTTAATTTGCATTTAGGAGACCAGATTTTTTTGCCACCGGCCCCGGGTTTTGATTGAAGGATTTCTGACAAGCAGTTTTCTGCAATCTTATTTGTATTTCTGGAAGATGTCCCCCTGTGTCCAAACTAGCTTTCCTCATGCAGAGAGGTGGAGCTACACGCCACTTTTGTCAGGGCACCATTATGCTCTTTGGGGCTCAGGAAGAGGAAAGGGTCATTAGCAGAAACCCAACCCCAGCTCAAGCTCACCTTCAGGTGGTGCGTCACGTCCCTTTCTCCCAGTGGCAGGCCTGGCTTTCTCTGTGGAAAGATGCAGAACTGCAGACAGACAGACAGACAGACAGGGCTCACTTCCACAGACAGACAGACAGGGCTCACTTCCTGGCAGCAGCAGGCCTCTCCTGTCAATAAATGAGGGCAAGACCCGAGACCATGGGCCCCCAGCAGGACTGGCCTAAACTCAGTGCCAAGCTGTGCATGGAGATTAAAGTCGGGTGAGGCCACACCCAGGATTCTGAGCATTGGTGGCCTCAAATACTGCACTCACCTGTGGCTCATTCTATCTGTGCCTGAATTCCCTGGCCTGAGCCCGCTCTTGCCCTTGTGGTAAGGGCTCCTTCCCTAGACTGACCAGACATTTCCAAGGCTTTTGCTTCCAGCCTCTCCATCCACTTGCCACATGGTCTAGGGATAGCTCTAGCACCATCCCTCCGCCCCTGCAGGCTCCTTCCCCACAGTTATTGGTCTGATGGAATGAGTCTCCCTGCCACACATCACACCCTGACCCAAGGGCACCCAAGAGGCCCCGTCTCCAGCTTGACCCTGGCAGGCACCTGTAGCCTAGGGCCCACTTAGAGTGGGGGCAGTGGTACCCGACCCTCCCAGGCAGGCTAGCCGTGTTCCAGGGGACAGTCCAACATGTCCAGCAGCTGTGCACATCTAATATCAGCTGGGAGATAAACGTGGGACCTCTGGCCCTGCTCTGTTGGCATGGAGCAAAACTCTCAGGGACAAGCCAAAGTCAGCAAGTAGGTCAGAATAAGGAGGGCTTCGTCACTCCTCTCAGGATATAAAAGGACAAAGGACAGGCCAGAAACAGCCAGAGGCCTGCTGGGAACCCCGCAGCAGAGCCAGGGCTGGACCTGGAATGCTCTGCCTTGTGGACCAGGCTTCTTGGGAGAAAGAAGCAACGTGTCTCACTATTTATTGGTGAGAGCCTCCTGCTGGCTGCTTCATACCCACTGCCACTTGGTGCCATGGCTGTGGCCATCCCACTGGACTGATGAAGGGTCTGCAGGCCTTGCTGCAGGCCACAAGCCAGAAGGGGAGCTCGCATCGCCCTGCAGGAGCTCTGAACCCCCACAGCTGCACAGGGCCTGTTTCCTAGCACAGGGGCCCTCTGCAGTTCCTGGCTGCAGTCACCAGCTCTGCCTGGCCCCTGGCTGAGTGCTGGGGCGCTCACTCCCACCAACCCTGCACTTTCCCTGCACTGTGGCCACATGCAGCCATGAGGCCTGCGGGCTGCTCCCAGCTTCCTTTCCCTCCCCTCCCTTCCTTCTCCCTTCCCTTGCCTTCCTTTCTCTGCCCAGGGCTCTCCTTGATGCCTCCTACCCTGTGAGCTCCAAAGAACAGGGATCCCCTCTCCATCCACTCCATTCCCTTCTCGGAATCTCTCGACTGTGGAATTCATGTGTCCCGTGTGCCTACTGGAGAGGGGGCCTCTTGGGTGCCCTTGGGTCAGGGTGTGATGTGCGGCAGGAAGGCTCATTCCATCAGGACCAATAACTGTGGGGAGGGGCCTTGCAGGGGCAGACGGATGCTGTTCAGAGCTGTCCCTAGACCATGTGCATGTCCTGGTTCCCAGCACATAACCCTCTTTTAGTCTCTCACTAACAAGATCTGGTGAGTATGTGACAATGATAAAACCAAGATAGGAGAGTCAGCATCACCGGGAGATGGTCACATCCTTAGCAAGTGGCAGTGCTGGTACTTAAACCGACATGGGTGCTGACTGACTGGGTTCTAGCTCTTCCCACAGGCTAGCCACGTCCCATTTAAGGTGCTACTTGTGAGATGAGGGGTAGAAGCTTGGGGTACGTCAGTCTTGCTCTAAAACTCAGATCCCACTGGACCTCCCCAGTCAGGCCCCACAGGGCTGTGGGAGTCCAAGGGCTCTGTGCCTGCAGGCAGCAGGGGCCACAGGCCCCAGGGATCCTGTCCTGCCCCCACCCCTAGCCTGGCCCTGGCTGGTCAGTCAGGCCAGACAGGAGGAAGGCGCTGGAGGTGCTGGCAGCTGAACAAAGGGGTCCGGGTCAGTTGGATACTTCCTCTCCTGCACAAAGCCCTCCTCCCCAGACATAGCCCTCAGCCTCCAGGACCCCAAAGAATGTCTGGAATGTTGTGGGGCCAGACAGCCTCAGGGCTCTACAGACAGAGGAGAGGCTGCCTTTGTACCCGGAAGACTGACCCCAGCCTAGAAGGTCACTCCCTGACCTGTGATCCTGCTCTGCCACCCCAGTCCCTGGGATTGGCTGGATTCCCGCCTCCTTAGGACCCCCAGTGTCCCTTCCATTCCAGTGGGACCCACCGAAAGCGAAAGAGGGAGCTCCTGCTGACGGTTGCTTGCTCAGCGAGCCCCCACTCTGCCCCACCAGCCCGTGCATCAGTGCCAGGCCCACCCTAGGTGCCAGGCCACGGGGGCTCCCTGGCATTCACGTGGAAAGGCAGTTTCCTCCCTGATTCTCCTCCAGACCTGAGCTTGCTGGTGCCTCAGGGCCCCTCCCTCCTGCTGGGTGCCACGCTGTCCCAGGAGCTGGGAGGGGACTTGTGTGTGGGCAAAACAGATGTGAAGCCCATTCCAGCGGGAGACGACAGACCATCAGCCTGAAGCCTACGGAGATCTCAGGAGATGAGGGGCATCAGGAGGAAGGAAGGTTGTGTGGGGGTGGGGTGGCTGCGGTCAGGGGAACAGGCACTTGAGGGTAAGGTGGTGAGCCTTAGCTGTGCCTATGGAGGGAAGAGAATCCTAGGAAAGAGGAACAGCAGACCACAGTCCTGCTTGTTCAGGGACCAGCAAGGCCAGCAGAGCCAGTGAGGGAGGGGTCAGTCCTAGGTGCCTAAGTCCGGCGGGCATCGAGGGCCAAGTGGCCTTTGCTGGGCATCAGCGTTCACTCTGGCGAGTCACAGTCACCACAGGGTTTTGAGTAAAGGAGTGACAGCAGCAGACTTGGGAACTTCAACAGGACCCTCTACTCCCACATGGGCACAAGACAAGGGGTGGAGGAAGGAGTCTGAGTCCAGGTAGGAGGCCCCTGGACCAACCACGGCCCTGCCACCTGTGTCTCTGAAGTTCAGAGAAACAAACAAACAAAAAACTTATAATTCTAACTATGTCCCCACAATTGAATGGAAATACTTTTAGACTAAGTAAATAAAAAGTCTTTGTTGTTTATCTGAAACTCAAATTTGGTGGCGTGTCCTATATTTTTTATTTGCTATTTCTGGACTCTTCAGTTAGGTGTCACACCTCTGCTTGTTCTGAGCAGCAGCTCGTCTGCAGGAGCCGGACCTGGGGCTGCACAGCTGTCTGGCCACATCCCTTGCCACTCACCAGGACAGGTAGGGCCCTGTGCTCAGCAGGAGGGAGAGCCTGGGACACAGAGACTCAAAGAACTCCCGTCTGGTGGGAGACAGGCAGACCAAGGTGGTATCTCCTGCCGGAAGCCATCCATGACCCATGTGAACTGAGCCGTGGGTAAACTGAGCGATGTGGAAGCCATTAGGCAGGGAAGCCTGGTTTCGGGAACTCCCAGTCGGAATCGACTAGTTTGAGAACACCCAATCCAGGTGGCACCCTCTTCTAGCTCCCACTGAAGTTCTAGCATAGTTTCAGTTCCAGAGATGGGGTGACCCACCAGAGCCACACAGCCTCTCAGACATGGCTGTGGCTTGCCAAAATGCCAATCAACCTGTTTACTGCAAGACCCCCGCCACACCCAGAAGCAAGCACCCCACCAAGACTCCTCCCGCTGAGACCTTATCCCTGCCTTGGTGTACTCCCCCTTGAATGAAAAATGGGGACCTTTCTCAGTTGTTCAGTTCCAGCCCCTCTCAGGACTGGAAGACCCACCAGGCGCTCCTCTTGGAATGTAATTTCTGGCTCTGTCTTTATTTCTTGCTGATTATTTCAGATTTTTTATTTTCCCAGGCAGCTCACACCTCTTGGGTAGGAACCTACCCTGTTGGGGTGCGGGTCACCTCACTATAATCTCCCCACTCTGAGCCCCAAGCTCAGGGTTGGGACTTCCCTGGGGATCCAGAAGCCCCTTCTCCGTCTCTGGCTCAGAGTTGCCCGGGGACCCAGGGGCTGGCCTGGCTTCTCTAAGGCCTGACCCACAGTCTGGCCTGCAACTTGAGGCCCCCAGTGGAGTCGGAGGCTGACATCAGGTCCCAGACAGGCTGGTAGCCAGGAGTGGCACGGGCTGCAGGGTTGATGGTGGCCTTTGGGCAGAGATCAGCCCACTCTCAAAAGCCAGAGAAACATGTTCAGCATGCCTGTGACTCACTCTTCCTCAGAAGAAGACTGTTTTTTCCTTCAGAAATCACAGACTTCCACCTTCAGACAATAACGTGTTCTCGGGAAGTTGCGTGTTTTGTTTTCTGTGCAAGCTGCGGGGGGTTTGTTTGCTTTAGGGCTGTTTTACTGGAATTGAGTTTGTGGGCCACAGGGCCTCACAGATGTGGCTGACACCTAACTGAAGTGGCCAGATATGGCAAATAAAAAAGACAGGACACGCCACTAAATTTGAGTTTCAGATAAACAACAAATACTTTTTATTTATTTAGTCTAAAAGTATTTCCATGCAATTTTTGGGACATAGTTAGAATTATAAAAAAAAAAAAAAATTTGTTTCTCTGAACTTCAGATTTAATCTGTATTTTACTTGGCAATACTGTTCTCAAGTCCAGCAGTGGCCCCTGGGCATGCTGTTCCTGGCATCAAGTCCCACTGGGTCCTGATCTCTGGCTCCAATCCCCAACTCCATTGACCCCAGGGAGATCTCAGCCACTGGCCCAACTCTGCCTGTGCCCTTGGAGTTGGGTTTTAGAGACCTCAAGCCACAGCCAGGATTCCATCTGAGCTGTAGAGCAGCCAGAGGCCCAAACCCTACCCACTCCCTTAACCTTGCTCGTCCCTCCATCACCCGGCCCCTCTACTTTCAGGAAAGTAGACAGGTGGTGCCATCTCTCTGTCCCTTATCAGCACCCTCCACCGGGTCATTAATGGTAGTGGCTCTGGGCTCTACCTGAAGCAGGGAAGCCAAACGTTTTCTGTCTTTGGACTCCACCTAAATCACTTCCACAGCAGTCTCCCTGGCCACAAGTTCTTCCTGAACTGGCTTCTCTCACCCCAGCACCTGCTTCACATGGTAATATTTGAGAAAGCCGTTTTCTCCTTCTTTT